TACATATGTCTTTTTCCATGGATGTTGGTGTCCTCAGCAAGGCAAGATTAGCTGAGCTTTGGGAAGGCAGGCAGATAAGTAGAGGATCAAGTTTGTTTACAGCCTGTCCAGTGGTATAAGCCAGAACCACCAGAAACACTCATTTTATTTGCTGCTTTCTATCCCTTGTGTAAATTAGAAACTGGCACAATTTCATGCAGCTCCCCTCAGATTCCTGACCTTTGTTCCCTATAGGTTAAAAGGGAAAGATGAACAATTCCCAGGAGGGCTCAGACACCAGCAATGCTTCAGTTAGTTCCTTTCCTTTCCCTGTATTACAGGAGCAGTGCTGAGAGTATGGGGTTGGGAAGCAAACGTGAATCTATTTAGCTCATGAAAGGGTTGACATCATCCCTGTTCCTGATTCTTGCTCCGCTCTTGGCTCCTGACTCACCCCTGTCTTCTCTCCTGTTCCCACCATGTTCCTGCTCTGTGCTTGATCCTTTCCTCTCCTTCTGTTCCTGCCTTTACACCTTGTCTCCAATCCTCAGTTACTAGTCCTGGCTCTGACTTCTGAGCCTGACTTTGGCTTGACTCTTGGGTCTGGCATTTGGAATCTGACATCAGCTCTTACTCTCAGCTTTGACTCCTAGTTGTGACTCTGGTTTGAGCCCAGGCTCTGGTAATTGGAAGTTGATTTTGGTGCTAGCCTTTGGCTTTGTTCTCCAGTTTGGATGCCTGCTCTGCCCACTAGACTTGACTCCTGCTCTGACTACTAGACCAGACTGCCTACATCCCAGTCCAAAATATGGAGCATTTATTAGACTTAGGTTCAGTTTCTCCTCTTATAATACGGAAGTAAAGAAAACTTTTCTCACAAGCATACATTCCCACTGTCACCAAATATTAGCACACGCTAGAGTGTACTAACAATAAAACCTCCAATAATATAAACTGTGTTGGTTTTCCCCTTTGCCATGCATATCTTCAGGAATTGCATCTCCACCCCATGATATAATGGGCATTTCTACTCTAACACATTATACATCTGGTCTGAGACTTAGTGAAAAAAGCATTGAGAGACTATATAACTAGCATGCTATGGAAAAGCAGGATGGATGAGGTATTTATTTCCCAGACTTGCGCTATACAGTGTTTCTTTGAATGCAAGGGTAGCTGTGTTAGTCTGTATCCACAAAAACAACGAGGAGTCCGGTGGAACCTTAAAGACTAACAGACTCCTCATTGTCTTTGAATAAAGGCTTTTCTTAAAGTACAGTCCCTCTGGATTATTGATGTGGGTATTGTTTCCTGAGCTTTAATTTGACTACCAAATTCAGAAGCACTCTATTTGTTATGCCACAACTTCAAAATGTCTATGATTTATTTTTTTTGCAAACAGGAGATACATTGCATTACTTGTTACAAGTTTAATGTTTCAACTGCATATGTAAATAGTGCTTAAAAATAAGCCCAAACCTGCCTTTACAAAAGAATTTTTTTTTCTATGAGGTCGAAATAGCCATTTGTGTTAATTGTTTTGATACTTTCCCTACTGTAACCAATCTTTACTTTTTTCAGAAAATAGAAATAACTAGTTTCCTTTAAAACATATAGAAATAATTGCAAGACATTGGTCTTATAAAATTTACATAATCGGAAGAGAAGGTATATCATATGAAATGATAGAAATCATTTAGAGAAATGATGTATGTTTAGACTATGCCACTGGAACAAACTCATCTTTTATAAATCATCAGAAATTGAGTAAACCTCATTGCTAGCTCTCCAAGTTGAAATTGGCAATAACCAATTCCACTAACTTGTAGTGTGCAAAGTACAGTATTTCTGCCTAGATACCAGAGGAAAGCAAACTTTTTGAAATGACAGATTGTATTGAATTTTAGATCTCCTTTTGTGTCATAGCACCCGTTGGAAAATTGAATACAGCTATTTGTGCATCAGGAAAAGAAGCAGTGTGTGATTATATTTACATTGTATGTGGTGTGGACTCAAGTCAGCAAATTCAAGGGGGCATTGCAATCTTATGAAACTATAATGACAGCAAGTGAATTTTGGTAATTTTTTCTAATCACCTTCTAAAATTATCAGAATAAGTAATTCCTAGTTCTTGCATAACACTTTATTTTTCACAGCAATGCACCAGTATCCTCAAACAATTCTACATACTATAAGTGAGTAGTATTCTCTCTTTTTTACAGGTGGAGAATGTTTTTAACTTGTACATGGACCCAATCCTATAAAGACTTATGTATGTTATTAATTCAATGAGGCTGCTTATGTAATCAAGTTAAACACATTCATCACATAAGTAAAAGAAAAGGAGTACTTGTGGCACCTTAGAGACTAACATTTATTTGAGCATAAGCTTTCGTGAGCTACAGCTCACTTCATCAGATGCATTCAGTGGAAAATACAGTGGGGAGATTTATATACATAGAGAACATGAAACAATGGGTGTTACCATACACACTGTAATGAGAGTGATCAGGTAAGATGAGCTATTACCAGCAGGAGATCGGGGGTGGGGGAGAACCTTTTGTTGTGATAATCAAGGTGGGCCATTTCCAGCAGTTGACAAGAACGTCTGAGGAACAGTGGGGGATGAGGGGGAAATAGTTTTACGTTGTGTAATGACCCATCCACTCCCAGTCTCTATTCAAGCTTAAGTTAATTGTATCCAGTTTGCAAATTAATTCCAATTCAGCAGTCTCTCGTTGGAGTCTGTTTTTGAAGTTTTTTTGTTGAAGAATTGCAACTTTTAGGTCTGTAATAGAGTGACCAAAGAGATTGAAGTGCTCTCCAACTGGTTTTTGAATGTTATAATTCTTGACGTCTGATTTGTGTCCATTTATTCTTTTACGTAGAGACTGTCCAGTTTGACCAATGTACAGGGCACAGCGGCATTGCTGGCACATGATGGTATATATCACATTGGTAGATGTGCAGGTGAACGAGCCTCTGATAGTGTGGCTGATGTGATTAGGCCCTTTGATGGTGTCCCCTGAATAGATATGTGGACACAGTTGGCAACGGGCTTTGTTGCAAGGATAGGTTCCTGGGTTAGTGGTTCTGTTGTGTGGTGTGTGGTTGGTGGTGAGTATTTGCTTCAGGTTGTGGGGCTGTCTGTAAGCAAGGACTGGCCAGTCTCCCAAGATCTATGAGAGTGATGGGTCGTCCTTCAGGATAGGTTGTAGATCCTTAATGATGCGTTGGAGAGGTTTTAGTTGGGGGCTGAAAGTGATGACTAGTGATGGCTACATTGATGACATCTTCATCATCTGGACCCATGGAAAAGAAGCCCTTGAGGAATTCCACCATGATTTCAACAATTTCCATCCCACCATCAACCTCAGCCTGGACCAGTGCACACAAGAGATCCACTTCCTGGACACTATGGTGCTAATAAGCGATGGTCACAAACACCACCCTATACTGGAAACCTACGGACCGCTATTCCTACCTACATGCCTCCAGCTTTCACCCAGATCACACCACACGATCCATTGTCTACAGCCAAGCTCTACGATGCAACTGCATTTGCTCCAACTCCTCAGACAGAGACAAACATCCACAAGATCTCTATCAAGCATTCTTACAACTACAATACCCACCTGCTGAAGTGAAGAAACAGAATGACAGAACCAGAAGAGTACCCAGAAGTGACCTACTACAGGACAGGCCCAACAAAGAAAATAACAGAACGCCACTAGCCATCACCTTCAGCCCCCAACTAAAACCTCTCCAACGCATCATTAAGGACCTACAACCTATCCTGAGGGACAAACCATCACTCTCACAGATCTTGGGAGACAGGCCAGTCCTTGCTTACAGACAGCCCCACAACCTGAAGCAAATACTCACCAGCAACCACACACCACACAACAGAACCACTAACCCAGGAACCTATCCTTGCAACAAAGCCCGTTGCCAACTGTGTCCACATATCTATTCAGGGGACACCATCATAGGGCCTAATCACATCAGCCACGCTATCAGAGGCTCGTTCACCTGCACATCTACCAATGTGATATATGCCATCATGTGCCAGCAATGCCCTTCTGCCATGTACATTGGTCAAACTGGACAATCTCTACGTAAAAGAATAAATGGATACAAATCAGACGTCAAGAATTATAACCTTCAAAAACCAGTCGGAGAACACTTCAATCTCTCTGGTCACTCGATTACAGACCTAAAAGTGACAATTCTTCAACAAAAAACTTCAAAAACAGACTCCAACGAGAGACTGCTGAATTGGAATTAATTTGCAAACTGGATACAATTAACTTAGGCTTGAATAGAGACTGGGAGTGGATGGGTCATTACACAAAGTAAAACTATTTCCCCATGTTTATTTCCCCCCTCCCCCTATTCCTCATACGTTCTTGTCAACTGCTGGAAATGGCCCACCTTGATTATCACTACAAAAGGTTTTTTCCCCCCCACGCTCCTGCTGGTACTAGCTCACCTTAAGTGATTGCTCTCGTTACAGTGTGTATGGTAACACCCATTGTTTCATGTTCTCTGTGTATATAAATCTCCCCACTGTATTTCCCACTGAATGCATCCAATGAAGTGAACTGTAGCTAATGAACGCTTATGCTCAAATAAATGTGTTAGTCTCTAAAGTGCCACAAGTACTCCTTTTCTTTTGCGAATACAGACTAACACAGCTGCTACTGTAAAACATCACATAAGTAGCGTCATTGAATTAATGACATGCATAAGTCTTTACAGGAACAGGTCCAAACTTAGTGGCAGAGCTGGAAATGAAATTCAGGCACTCTTGGTTTCTGTTCTCTTGCTCAGTATAGGGAGTCATGGTGACTATTTTGTAGTTTGTTGGTTGTTTGAATTGTAAAGGAGTATGTTTTTCTTCATTACAATGTCAGTAAGGTCAGAATTTCAACCAGTAATTCTTCTGTATCTCTCAGGTGTTGGGATTCCCTCTGAGACCTTTTCCATCCCGTTTTCCAATAACTCAGTTTGACTCCACATTTCGTCACTCAGATATCTTTATTAGGCATATAGCAAAGCTAAGTTAGTTGATCAGACATATGCAGGGTACATACATAAGTGCTGGAACTAGGAGTGCTGGGGGTGCTTCCACATCCACTGGCTTGAAGTGGTTTCCATTATATACAGGGTTTACAGTTTGGTTCAATGGCTCTCAGCACCCCTGGGTACATAACAGATCCAAAGTACTAAATAACTAATCAGCTTAAATACACATTCTGAAACAAACTCCACATGTGCCCTCTATTCTACATCAATTGTGATTGGTTCATTAGTTTCTGGGAACCAGTTTCCAAACAGATCGCAAGTTGTTCACACACCACACATATGCTTCTGTTACATATTGCTTACTATCCTACTATATTTTATATTCGCTACATACTTCACATGTTGACAAGGCTACTGTAAATTCAAGATTTGTTGATTATTTCATGTCCTTGCTTAAAATAGATCTACATCAGGCATATCACCAAAATGTCTGACCACCTTTTTTTTTTTTTTTAAAGATAATATAGCATATATTAATTGTATCTCTTTTGTCTTCCCCCCTGGATCTTTTATTCACCTGTTCATACTAAACTCAATAATGGAGAGGGAATATACCATTTTTAAGTGATCTCTCAGTATGTCAGTATCACATACCTCTCTATAGTCTTAACCTATATAATTCTGGGTTTAGATTTTAGTGCAGGTAGTTAAATTTTCCTATAGCATGTTTTCCAACAGAAAAGGTCATTAATACATATTGTATTTTATATGTAATAAATAATTAAATGACTCCAGCAGTTGTTTGAATTTTCCTTGTTCAAGACCATAAGAAATGCTGGGGGTGGGGGAAGCAAGCAAAATAGGTGTTTCAGACATAGTTTGCAGTTACATATAGACTTTGAAAGATCATATTATACCCAAAGCTACTAGAAAACTTCTTTGTAATAATTAGAATCCCCTACAAGTTCATTTGGAAGGTTGAATTCCTGCCCCCAACAGGAATATCCCACCATTCTTCACAGCAGTCATGTTTCTGTAGCAAGCCATCGCCCTTGGAAGAGAGAATGTAAGTTTCTTGAGAGGGTTCACATATTGTACAGCTGTGTGAATATCCTCCGTCAGTGTTGGCATGAAATGCAACCTGGAATGCAGAATGAGGTTATGGGTTTAATATCATAGTTAACGTTGTTAAAGTTTTATTAAAAAAAATTCAAACATCAAAGTGTTTTTAAATGTTGTGAGATAGAGATGGCAGAGTTGCCAGACATGAAGGGCCCTTAGCCAGCTTGGATCCTATATTACTATAGTAAATGTAATACAAGGAATCACCCTTGTCAGAAACCTCTGTCTTGACGGATCATCCCAAAGTGTTCCAAAACTTATCATGTACAATTCTACTCCACATTTATTAGAACAATCACTTCTGTTAAGCTACCTGAGTTTTCTTGATCCCTTGTTCTGTCTCTAAAGACCAGTTTCACTGTATGTAACTGAGTGAGTCTGTGACTTAGTGTAAATCCTTTGTGCACCTCTACAACTAATTCTTGATTTGACACATTTCCTTTTAAAAATGGGTGCTAAGGCTGCACACCTATGATTTAAAATACATAGTCAGTATCCAAAGCACTTCAGAATGCAGAATATCTTGATGGATCAAAAGCGCCAGAATGAAATATTATATTGAAAATGCCTCAATATTGTGACATTTTTATATGTTTTTAAAAGTTCTTCCATAATTGATCCTACAGGCTGTAGCCAATGTCATCCCAAGCCAGAGAGCCAAAGGAAATGCTGATCTAAGTTCTTGGGCTCTCCAGAACTCCTTCATCTGCCTCTGAGCCCTTCCCACCCACAGCAATAGTTCATTGCCAGCTCACTTTCTAATAGGATTTAACCATTCTTGCCCCTTGTGACAGAAGGTCTTTAAAGCTGTGGATGGGTAACTAGTCCTGGCATGACTATAATTACTCACCACTGAAATTTGCAACATGCTTGTGGGCCTTTCCCCATAGGATCATGCTGTACAGTGGGACTGTTCCAAGGTTCTTGTCCTACCATGCCTCATTATGTGTCCCTGGATTTTCCATTAATCCCAGGTGTGGTGTTTTGAGGCTGTATACATTTCACCGCTATTCACCACTATATAAGATCACCATCTCCTTTGTCCCAGTACTTGCACTGTTTGGTGTTAGACGAATGTAGTTAGTTTACAGTGATAGATTTAAGACCAGAGCTGGAAAAAAATTTTGACAAATCCTTTTTTTTTTTTCCAATGGAAAATGCTGGTTGATTGCAACTGGAACTTTTCAGACATGTATTGGTTTAATGAGACTTCTGTTGGGGAGGTTTCTAATGGCGGGATGGAATTTCTGGTCAAAATGAGAGAGAATTCCTCACCCCTTAACCCAAATAGCCAATGGCCCAATGGTTAGGGCACCCACCTAGTTAGGCAAAGCAGGGACCTGAACCTGCTCTCCCACATCCCAGGTGACTGCCCTAACCAAATGAATATTTTAGACGAATGTAGTTAGTTTACAGTGATAGATTTAAGACCAGAGATGGAAATATTTTAGGGGGTGTGTGACTCTCTCTCTCTCTCTCTCTCCTGGTTTTAATGAATATTTGTGAAAGTCTCAGTTTTGTCCCCGCAGGGAATGAAACCAAATGTTGAAAACTGAAATTTTTTCTTGAAACAGAATTTTATTTTCTGACCAGTCCTACCTTTGACAAATAATATAGTACTGTCCATCAGTTGAAGGTTAATACACTAGCATGTCATGTGACAGAAACTATTTGTGCCCAACTATGGTAACCTTAAGGGAGGCTGTTTGGAAGAACAAGTAGTATTTCAAGAATTTGCAAATATATTTTATGCCTATATAATTCATTATATTAGATACGAAGATGACATTATAGTTATGGAAGGCTTGCAAAAAGCAAAATGATTTTTTTAAAAAGTCTGCTCACTGACTTAAGTTTGAGTTTCACTTTATGGAAAAGTCAAGTTAATATTGAATATTTAGATTTATTGATAGCTAACAGTCATAACAAATTTTGAAATTAATATACCACGTGAAGAAACCCAACAGGCAGAAATATCAATTTACACAGTTATAGTTTTCATCCAAAATATATTCTATATAATATCCCTTAAAGACAGCTTGTGAGATTAATCTAGAATGGTTCTACAACAGAAGAACTTGAACAGTCTAATTTGTAATCTAGTGGAATTGCAGAAAGAGGTAGTATGCATTGTATATGAAAATCAGTTACCCAAATATAGACAATATGAAGACATACGAAGCATGCACTCTTTTCAATAAGAATTTCTTTTATGGAATTTTTGGAGCTTTTTTGCTAGCTAAAAGATAGAGGCCTATGTTTTCAAAAGTTGACTTGTGACAACAGAGGACTGAGCTAGCTCATGTCTGAAGTATATGCTACTATGCATATTTTATACTGCTGACTGCTGTAAGAAATTGTTATATTTTGCTTTGAAAAATGTTTATTCAAGTACCACTAATGTGATACATGGGTCATATAATCTTTTTAGTTATATGCAGCAAATATTTACTCTCCAGAAGGAAAATATAGTATTACAGGAGCCTTTTGCCATGAAAACTGGTATTGTAATTTATTGATCCAATAAAAAGTATTGCATTATCTACAGTGGCTACTTTAGTCTTCTTACTGAAGATAGTTGCACTTTTTGATGGATACAGTTTGAAACATTTCAGACCTTCAAGGTAACCAAGCCTTTTAATGTTCCAATGCTTCGAAGGATTTTATAAAACATTCCACACTCTTTTTTTTTATCATCTCCTTCTATGCTTTTTGTTTGTTATCAGGAGAGAGAGGAATCAGTTACTGTGTGGCACCAGTGGTTTCAGGTACAATGCCTTTATCAGACCATAAAGATTTTATTATCCTACCCAATTTATATTTTTTGAATTTCTGGATTTGATGCATGCATCGAGCTTGCTTCCCTGCTGTGCCAGCTGTCAGCATTTCCTATTCTTGGATTTTACCGTAACCATATTTTTCATGTTTGCTTTATTTTTTTAAAAAAAATTGAATTTTGATGAACGTGCAGAAAATACAGAAAGTGACACATACATATAATCTATACATACGATGAGATACAGCAAAAATATCATAAAACAAATTAAATGTATGCAATAAATGCATTTTATCTCATATAGATGACACTGCATCCTTTGGAACTGATAGCATACAAATAAGCAATAAAGTAAAGGTAAAAACTTGATTATGCTGATGCTCAAGATTTTTATCAAAGAGTTTCTCCTTTGTTCTTGTGCATTTTGACATGAAGCTATAAGTTTTAACCAGTATATAGCATGCACTGTTTTAGTATAAAGTATGAATAGATGTTTGTCTCTGTGGATTTAAGAAGCTTTCTGAGAATGTCAGGAAGTACCTTTCTGAGCCTTTTCTTTCAGTTCACTACCAGTTTTTACATATACCTGAAATTTACATGAAATTTACAAAAATTACCAGGAAATTTACATGTACCTGAGATGGCTGCAACACTGCTTAATTTGATGTGTTATAAAATAGAAAATGTGTAAGGAGGTTTCAAAGAATTGTTCTCATGACACTTTTCAGAGTAGCAGCCGTGCTAGTCTGTAAACCTGGTGGCTGCACATTGTGACTTTGTCCTCACCCATAACTATCTCACATTTGGGGACAATGTATATCTTCAAATCAGCGGCACTGCTACGGGTACCCGCATGGCCCCACAGTATGCCAACATTTTTATGGCTGACTTAGAACAACGCTTCCTCAGCTCTCATCCCCTAATGCCTGTACTCTACTTGTGCTACATTGATGACATCTTCATCATCTGGACCCATGACAAAGAAGCCCTTGAGGAATTCAACCATGATTTCAACAATTTCCATCCCACCATCAACCTCAGCCTGGACAGGTCCACACAAGAGATCCACTTCCTGGACACTATGGCGCTAATAAGCGATGGTCACATAGACACCACCCTGTACCGGAAACCTACGGACCGTTATTCCTACCTACATGCCTCCAGTTTTCACTCAGATCACACCACATGATCCATTGTCTACAGCCAAGCTCTACGATGCAACCGTATTTGCTCCAACCCCTCAGACAGACACACACACCTACAAGATCTCTATCAAGCATTCTTACAACTACAATACCCACCTGCTGAAGTGAAGAAACAGATTGACAGAGCCAGAAGAGTACCCAGAAGTGACCTACTACAGGACAGGCCCAACAAAGAAAATAACAGAACGCCACTAGCCATCACCTTCAGCCCCCAACTAAAACCTCTCCAACACATTATCAAGGACCTACAACCTATCCTGAAGAATGACCCATCATTCTCACAGATCTTGGGAGACAGGCCAGTCCTTGCCTACAGACAGCCCCACAACCTGAAGCAAATACTCACCAACAACCCCACACCACACAACAGAACCACTAACCCAGGAACCTATCCTTGCAACAAAGCCCGTTGCCAACTGTGTCCACATATCTATTCAGGGCACACCATCACAGGGCCTAATCACATCAGCCACACTATCAGAGGCTCGTTCACCTGCACATCCACCAATGTGATATGTGCCATCATGTGCCAGCAATGCCCTTCTGCCATGTACATTGGTCAAACTGGACAATCTCTTCATAAAAGAATAAATGGACACAAATCAGACGTCAAGAATTATAACCTTCAAAAACCAGTCGGAGAACACTTCAATCTCTCTGGTCACTCGATTACAGACCTAAAAGTGACAATTCTTCAACAAAAAACTTCAAAAACAGACTCCAACGAGAGACTGCTGAATTGGAATTAATTTGCAAACTGGATACAATTAACTTAGGCTTGAATAGAGACTGGGAGTGGATGGGTCATTACACAAAGTAAAACTATTTCCCCATGTTTATTTCCCCCCTCCCCCTATTCCTCATACGTTCTTGTCAACTGCTGGAAATGGCCCACCTTGATTATCACTACAAAAGGTTTTCTCCCCACCCCCCGCTCTCCTGCTCTTATTAGCTCATCTTAAGTGATCACTCTCGTTACAGTATGTATGATAACACCCATTGTTTCATGTTCTCTGTGTATATAAATCTCCCCACTGTATTTCCCACTGAATGCATCTGATGAAGTGAGCTGTAGCTCACGAAAGCTTATGCTCAAATAAATTTGTTAGTTTCTAAGGTGCCACAAGTACTCCTTTTCTTCTCATGACACTGATTCACACTGATGCCTGTTCAGCTACTGCCTTCTGTTATGAATGGGAATAAAAGTATCCAATACCACAAAGTTATTGTGCTGGTTATAAATCTCCCTGTTTGAAAAATAAAAGAACAAAAAAGGTTAAATTAATCTCATAAAAATTGACATTTCCAAATCTTATCAGTTTCTGTTACAAAACTGAAAATCTGCTGCTGATCTCTTTCCTGGAGAATTTAATTTAATTTTTTATTTAAAAGTTTATTTGCTTTCATCGAGCCAACAGGCAGTCCGATATCAGATTTGAAAGGAGAGGCACAGAGAATAGCTTTGAATGCTTTTGCCCATGACTATGCTGACCTCTACAAATGCCAAATGGAGACTGGTAACCTTTCAGTATAGCATATATTGATGCTCTGTTTCACAGGAAGTGAGTATCATGTAGTGGTTAGGGCACTGATCTTGGACTCATGAGACCTGAGTTCTGGTCCTAGCACTTACCTGCTGTCTGATCTTGGATCAGTCCATTCACCGTGTTGTGCCTTTCTTCCCTATCCCATCCTTTGTTTGGTTGTTTGTTTGTTTGTTTTCCCCGTCTCCTCTGGTTCTTGTCATGCGGACAGAAAGCAGAAGACCAGAAGTCTGAGGTGCAAGCAATGCAATGTTTATTGAGGTTAGTTTCCAGCAAGCAGGTCCATAACTCTGATGCTGCAGAGTCTTGTTTCCCAGTGTCCCATTCTCCCCCCTCCTTAGCAAGCATAACTGTACCTGAAATGCGTGCTCTTGGTCCCATCCCTTACAATTTATGATCTTGTTCCATTTTGGGGGGTCATGAGTCTGGGGTCTTCATCCCAGCTCTTTTGAATCCCATGGGAGGAGGGAGGTTGTGCTACGGTCAGGGACAGGCATTTATTTGGCCTTTTAGTGTTTTATACTTCCCCCAAACCCCTTTTGCCCCTCCTGACTGGTTGCTTGACTTTGCCTTGAAACAGGAGTTCAGGCAGTCTTAAAGTGTGCGCATGTATATTATACTCCCAACGTGCCCAGTAAGACTTTAACTGTTTTTATCTGTTCCCATTATACTAACAAATCTATCTGGCTAGGCAGAACAACATACGCAGCGTCTTTGTCCTTTGTTTATATATATTAGTAAGACCTATAAGTGTATCAAGAAGCAAACGGGAAACCAAGACCTAAAATTCTATCTTGGGTGAAAATACAGGCCTGAATCCTACATTATCACTAGTACTCCTAACAGGGCCTTTCAGTGCTACTGAGTAATGATGATCATAATATATGGAGTGCATGTCTTTCCCAATCTAATTTATTTTATGCTATGTTTGTTATAGCAGGTGGGATAGAAGTATGTGATTGTCGTGTTCCAGTTTGTTGGTCAAATTATCCCCTCCCAGTTAAAATTGGAAGAAGACCTGTTACTCAAAAATATGAGTATTTCCTACTTATCCTCCTTGGGTTGGAGGTGAGTTGTTTTGCGTTCTCTGCAGAAAAGTCTGGTATATTTCAAGGGATACATGTGGAGGTCCTTTACCACTGTGCAATGCTGGCCCCTGCTTTTCTGAAGTATCAGTGACTCCCACTAGTTACAATACCTCTCACGTTACCGTGAGGAAAGAGAAAGGCAAAAAAGTTAATATAGACATGGGCTTTGCATGTGATAACCTCCACAGAGAGTCCTCTGTAGCATTTGATGGGTGATAGGCATGGAGAAAATGCTATAGAGTCATTCAAGCTTCCCTTATACACATAGAGGGCACCTCCACATGCAAATTTCAGGGGGCATTTTTTGACCATACCAATGGCTGAGCAACAAGCTGCGGGATACAAAATACTGTATATCTTTTGAGTGTCCTCTCAGAGCAAATGGTCCATCATGGGAGATGTAGTCTGTCTAGGTAGCACAGCCAGTCAAAGAGAATTGAGTCATAAGGTACCCTCTTTACAACTCCCAGGAGGCCATGCAACCACATAGGGAAATGAAGTTTGATGCTGAAATGATTCAAAATGAAATGTTTTGGATCAGTTCAGCAAACTAAAATGAAACCGTTCAAATTGGGAATATTGAAATATTTGCTTCAGTTGAAAATTCCTAAACAACACGTTTTACCATTTCCTCATCAAAATTTTGGGGGATCTTTCATTTAATAAAAATATGATATTTCAACTGGAAGAAGACCAATGTTGAAATATTACAATTTTTCACAAGATGGAAATTCCAATTTTCACTCACTTCTTCCAGGAACATTTTGCACTTGGCTCCTACTTAGCTCTGCAAGGAGGATATCCCTACTTGTACTCCTTCTCTCTTCCTTACTTGTGGATTTGGCACAAGGTGGCCCCACATATGGAAGTCCAGTGACATCAAAAGGAGTTTTGCATGTGTGGCACCGTCATATAAAATAAAGGCCCAAACTTGTGTCTTGACACAATTCATATCCCCAAATGCCTTCCATAGGTAAATCATGAAGTTAGTAAAATAATAGAAGCTGAGAGAGATAGAAAACAAGTCAAGGTATTAGGACTGTCAATTAATCACAGTTAATGCATTTGATTAATGCAAAACCAATATACTAGATCAAAAATTGTGATTAATAGCAATGTTAAACAATAATAGAATTCCAATTTAAATTTATTATATATATATTTTGGATTTCTTTCTACATTTTCAAGCATGTTGATTTCAATTACAACACAGAATACAAAGTGTACAATGCTCATTTTATATTTTTGTTTACAAATATTTGTGCTGTAAAAATGATAAACATAAGAAATAGTATTTGTCAATTCACCACATACAAGTAATGTAGTGCAATCTCTTTCTTGTGAAAGTGCAACTTACAAATGTAGAATTATTATTAGGGCTGTCAATTAATCACAGTTAACTCAAAATGAATTGTGATTAAAAAATTTAATCTCAATTAATCACAGCTTTAATCACACTGTTAAACAATAGCATACCAATTGAAATTTATTAAATATTTTTGGATGTTTTTCTACATTTTCAAATATATTGCTTTAAATTACAACACAGAATACAAAGTGTAAAGTGCTCACTTTATAATATTTTTAATTACAAATATTTGCACTATAAAATAAACAAATTATAATTTTCTGTCCACCTCATACAAATACTATAGTGCAGTCTCTTTATTGCAAAAGTGCAACTTACAGATGGAGTTTTTTGTTACATAAATGCACTCGGCAACAAAACAAGGTAAAATTTCAGAGCCTACAAGTCCACTTCGTCCTACTTCTTGTTCAGCCAATCGCTAAGACAAACAAGTTTGTTTGCATTTACAGGAGATAATACTGCCCACTTTTTATTTACATCACCTGAAAGTGAGAACAGGCATTCGCATGGAACTTTTGTAGCAGGCATTGCACAATATTTGTGTGCCAGGTATGCTAAACATTCGTACGCCCGTTCATGCTTCGGCCACCATTCCACAAGACATGCTTTCAAATGCTGATGACACTCATTTAAAAAAATGCATTAATTAAATTTGTGATTCAACTCCTTGGGGGAGACTTGAATGGAGACTGCTCTGTTTTACCCGCAGTCTGCCATACATTTCATGTTATAACAGTCTTGGATGATGACCCAGCGCATGCTGTTGGTTTTAAGAACACTTTCACTGCAGATTTGACAAAACGCAAAGAAGGTACCAATGTGAGATTTATAAAGATAGCTACAGCACTTGACCGAAGGTTTAAGAAGGTGTAGTGCTTCCAAAAGCTCAGAAGGATGAGGTGTGGAGCATGCTTTCAGAAGTCTTAAAAGAGCAACACTCCAGTGTAGAAACTACAGAACCCAAACCACCAAAAAAGAAAATCAACCTTATGCTGGTGGCATCTGACTCAGATGATGAAAATGAACATGTGTCAGGTTTGGGTTGTTATCAAGCAGATCCCATCATCCGCATGGACGCATGTCCTCTGGAATGGTGGTTGAAGCAAGAAGGGACATATGAATCTTCAGCACATCGAGCATGTAAATATCTTTCTACACCAGCTATAAAGTGCCATGCCAACACCTGTTCTCAATTTTAGGTGGCATTTTAAACAAGGAGCGGGCAGCATTATCTCCTGCAAATGTAAGCAAACTTGTCTGTCTGAGCGATTGGCTGAACAAGAAGTAGGACTGAGTGGACTTGCAGGCTCTGAAGTTTTACATGGTTTTATTTTTCAGTGCAGTTATTTTTTGTATATAATTCCATATTTGTGAGTTCAACTTTCATGAGAAAGAGATTGCACTACAGTACTTGTATTAGGTGAATTTAAAATACTTTTTCTTTTGTTTATCTTTTTACAATGCAAATATTTGTAATAAAAATATGAAGTGAGCAATGTACACTTTGTATTCTGTGTTGTAACTGAAATCAATATATTTGAAAATGTAGACAACTATCCAAAATATTTATAATAAATTTAAATTGGTATTCTATTTTAACAGTGAGATTAAAACTGCAATTAATTGTGACTATTTTTTTAAATCTTGTGATTAATTGTGATTGTGGTTTTTTGTTTTGTTTTTTAATAGTTGACAGCCCGATTAGGGACATCTGCTATACAGAAGTATATTTACAGCTGAGATTTTCAGAGACAGAGTTAGAGTTTATAGCTAGGATCTTCCCAAATTCCTTATTGCCTAACTTCCTGCTCCAGATTTAAAGAAAAAGTGGAGAATATACCTTAAGAATTTGAGTTTCCTCTGGTTTTATTTTGTTTTAAACAATGCATCCAAGCCACGTGAACTTTCACCCATGCTAAGTGTATCTATATTTCCTTTTCTGAAAGAGAATTAATGGGGATTATTTTGAAAAGCAGGATTATTTGCCACGTATGGGTTTGCCTTTGGTGTCTCATTTCAGAAGAACAAATTGTTATAGTAAGGGCGAATGTGCATGAGAAATAAAGTTTACTTCCAATTGCACAAGGGTACTGATAAGTAAAATCTTAAGTGGAAGCTGATTCTTGCTTCTCAGAACTGAACACAGTGTGCCATATTTGAAGGGAGGGAGTTAAAAGCCAAAGGTTAAAGTTTCCGTGGCAAGTATGTTCCTTATGTAAGCATGAGTGGGAATCAATGTTATGAATTTGCTGAGATGCAAGTTATATTTTAAAGCTGCAATCTAATAAACTAGGTTTGCCAATTTGATAAGTGTTTGTAGTCAATATTAGAATTGAACGTAATTAGGATAAACATTTTGTTGACAGTATTTCTCAAATCAGGACACTTAGTGCTCTTAATAGTTTATTAATTCCCCCAGAACCACATAAGTTTACAATCAACACTTCATCAATCAAGTGTAGACACAGCCAATGTTCTAGCCATATACTTACCACAAAAATACAGATTCCAAGCAATTGTCATGTCATACTAGGGCTGAGCTCAGTTATACCATATAACAATAAAAATCACCACACTCTCTCTTATTACATTTACTTATGATCATCACTTATTTAGTATCTCTAACACACTTATTACACTTCCAGTATTTTTCCAATGAGTAAGGATTCACTTGTCTTAAATGCACTTTTAAGAGTGTGGTCCCTGCTATTTGAATGGATTGGTATGAAAGGGACAAGTTTAAAACATCAAAAGCAATTGTGTAAACTTATTGTTTTAGATTTCTTAGATGGCTTTGCTTGAGTTTACAAAGGAGAGCATGCATAGCCAGTAAAAATCCAATATATGGCTCCTTGAGGTCTCACTAGAAAGAGTGTAGACCAGGGACAGGCAAACTTTTTGGCCTGAGGGCCACATTGGGTTTCCAAAATTGTATGGAGGGTCGGTTAGGAGAGGCTGTGCCTCCCCAAACAGCCAGGCGTGGCCTGGCCCCTGCCCTCTATTTGCACCCCCCTGCTTCTCACCCCCTGATGCCCCCCCCCCGGGACTCCTGCCCCATCCACCCCTCCCTGTCCCCTGACCGCCACCAGATGCCTCGCCCCTGACTGACCCCCATCACCCCATCCAACCCCCCCCCTTCCTGACTGCCCTCCACCCTGGGAACCCTGCCCCCATTCAACCCCCCTGTTCCTCATCCTCTGACCACCTGGACCCCTAGCCACACCCCTGCCCCCGACCACTACCCCGAACTCCCCTGCTCTCTATCCAACCCCCCCACTCCCTGCCCCCTCACTGCACTGCCTGGAGCACTGGTGGCTGGTGGTGGTACAGCTGCGCCACCCAGAGCACCAGGACAGGCAGCTGGACCGGCTGGACCCAACCACGCCACCGAGCACCGGGTCAGGCTGCGGCTCTGCAGCTGCACTGCCCGGCAAAAGCTTGCAGCCCTGATGCTCAGAGCAGTGGGCGGGGAGGGGGGAAATATTCTGGGTACTCTTCTGGCTCTGTCAATCTGTTTCTTCACTTCAGCAGGTGGGTACTCTAGTTGTAAGAACGTTTGATAGAGATCTTGTAGGTGTTCCCCCCCCCCCACTGTTCTTCATACGGTCTTGTCATCTGCTGGAAATGGCCCACCTTGATTATCACTACAAAAGGTCCCCCACACACACACACTCCCTTGCTGGTAAAAGCTCACCTTACCTGATCACTCTCCTTACAGTGTGTATGGTAACAGCCATTGTTTCATGTTCTCTGTGTATATAAATCTCCCCACTGTATTTCCCACTGAATGCATCCAATGAAGTGAGCTGTAGCTCACGAAAGCTTATGCTCAAATAAATTTGTTAGTTTCTAAGGTGCCACAAGTACTCCTAAGATTTCAGGGGTCTCAATTTCTCTGTTGCTTCAGTCAGTATCCAGTAGAGGGCACTGATGTATAACAAATTTCTGCAGTCCTTTTATTGGAGGTTTCTTATATTTGATTCATTTCAAGGATAGAATTTCAGTATTAGGTTAGACTGTCAGTTCAATCCCCTTCCCTCCTCTCCCCACATGCCTTTTAAGCAATTTTTTATAATCATTCAAAGTTATAGCCTGGTTAGGTGCTTATATCTTTCAGTATTCTTTTTTGCCTTCTTGTGTCATTTGACTTGCACCACTTTTGTAGTGCAAAAATCATTTCAAAAGAAAATGAACAAAATTCCTTTATAGTCTTCTAAATCTAGTGGACATAGTCCTTACATTCTTTGATTAGATATAAGTATTTCACAATCTTTAGGGCTTACAACAGAACAAGAGACATTGTCCACATATAAAGAGACAGTTTATCTGATTCATACTACTGACAAATATGTAGCTTCTGATCTGGGAGGAACCACAATTGAAGGAACTAAAGACATCATCTATGGTACATTTGTTTAATAAAGCAATAACTGTACAGTTTAAAATATAAGGTGAAAGCGTGTAAACTGGATCTCTTGAGGTTCCTGTTTAGTTAGGTTAGTATGGAGAGAGAGGTTTTATCCATATGTAAAATATGACAGGCGATTAACAATAGTTTTACTTAGCCATCTTTCTTTTCTATTTTGGGGGAGTGGAACTGCTAACCTTAGCTGACTTGTGGGCCCTTAGACAAAGTGTCATCGCACAGTGATTCATTTTCTTATTGTCTGTACATCCTGGGGTGAGTTCAGTACTCGGTTGGTCCTATTTTGGGGTAAACAGAGGATAGCTTTTCTGATTCAAGGGGCAGAAAGAATTAATTGGTATTAACCAGTCCAGGGATATTCTCCTATATCTCTCAAAGTAAGAATTAATTACATTAGTTGTGCTCATGAAGCACAATTAATAAGGTTGTAATATAGGGCTTTTCATTTAAATTTCTTAAATAACTTTATTAGCTCTAATTAAATATTACCATGTCCCTATGAGGTAAGTATTAGTACACCCATTTTACAGATGGCTGATTTAAGGCCACCCACTTAATTGGTGTCAGACCTAGTAAAAGAACCAAGGAATCATGCATCAGATTTCTTTGAAACATGTAGTCTGAACTCTCTATGGTTAATATTGGAGGAGAATAACACTACATTGTTTCCATAAAAGTTGGTATCTTCTTCACTGTAGAATGTCTGTAACGTCATATAAGACTGGATCTATATTTATCAGACTTAGCTTTTTTGTTTATCAGTGTAAGTTCAACAAGAATACCATAAGATGGCAATATTGCCCTTTAGGAAACAATACCACAGTGAAGTTTGTGAAAGAGAAACAAACTTTTGGTGGCTCACAATACTTTTGAATTTAATCTTAAAGTGTTGTATTGCCTTACTAAAATTATGCCCCCTTTGTAGCTCTTTAGTTTAATTTCAAAGTAGTCAATTAATAATATATTTAGTAGCAAAGTAAATATATTTTTTCTGTTATGTTGGTGGATTTTGAATCACAACATACTACATTATGTATGTCTTTTGTGGAAAACAATTTCTTGGATTATTCACACTACTACCTGCACCCAACAATTTCCTGATGATGATGTAGTAACAGTCCTATATTCTAAAAACAGCATTTTGTGAGAGATTGTGGACTGGCACTTCAGTGCATCAGCAACCCCCTTTGGTGAGACAGGGCTTTGCACAAAATCTGCACAGAATGGCAGGGTGGCCAGTCCACAGCCTTGTCTGAATCTCTGTTGTCCTATTCTGGGGATAAGGATGTTAATGTCTGTCTGTTCTGCTGGGGTTTACGGACTTCCCCTTATGTTTGGTGTGGGTTATCTGATCCTTGTCCTCAAGGGGCCTGGAACCCCCTTAAGTTCTTAATTCTCTTCTTAGGGATAGGTAGGGGAACCCAGGCCCACCCATGGCACTGGGTTACTGTTCAGGTCCCTTAACTCAGGCATACAGAATCAGGTCTCAACAATTGTCCTGCTGTGTCCTGAACTCCTTCCTATCTTCTTTGGTTCTATAGGCTTCTGCAGCCTGTAGTTCTGGTCATCCCTTCTCTGGCTCATTGTCACTTTGGGGTGGCTTCTTACCACCTTGCCATAAGAACCTTCTTTCTCTAGCCTTTTTCTTGCTCTGGCAGCCAACCCATTCTGCGGCTTCTCGGCTATTTGATTCTCAGCTGCTGTGAGACTGCCAATCAGTGCTGGATGGCAGTTCCTGCATTAACTCTTGGTTGTCAGGCCTGCGTGGGGTCTATAGAACTCATGACAGAGATAAAGAATAAGAAGTGGAAGTTAAATCATGAAAAACTACAACAAAGTGAAGATGATTGGAGTGCTGAGGATGTAGTGAACTCCTTTGGAAAGTTATTTGGGCCACATTTTCACAATTGGCAGTGACTTGGGATATCTCAGTACCCATGTGTGCAACTTCAAGCACTTTAGGCCTAACTTGCAGAAGTGTTGGGCACCCAAAACTCTGTTTAAGGTCAGTGTTTAGCTGTGGGTGCTCAGCACCCAGGAAGTGAGATCCAAGGTATCACAAGTTGAGCTGCCCAAAACCAGAGGCTACTGTTAAAAATGTTGGCCAAAATCAATCCTGAAGTCAAAAAAGGTGACAGAATGGTAATTTGCTAGGAAATTTAAGTCCTCAGTTCACTCATGAAACACGTGCAGCAATATTGATAACTGGTTCTTTAATGTCTCTATCCAGACATGGAGGGGCAGTGATTCTAAATGGATGACAGTGTTGAAAAGCATTCGTATTACCAATCTGTGGTTCCTACTGTAGAGACTTACCAACAGTTTAAAAGTAATAAAATGTAAATCAAGATTTATTTTGCAGATCTCAAGTAAAAACAAATCAACTATTTTTAAGAGTGGATACAGTTTCTCATAGGTGTTTGCTGTCACTGAATTATACGGGTTTCTTAGCTTGCATTTATAGACACTGTGACAGGGTCGGGCCAGATGGCTACAGGAGAGTAATAAAAGGCAGATATATTCACCCCAGGTTAAGCCGGTCTCTTTTCCCTGGGTAAGGTATCAGAGGCAGTTCCAGAACAATCAAGAACTTGCTGGAACCAATTAAAGCAGACAGGCTAATTAGGACACCTGGAGCCAATTAAGAAGCTCCTAGAATCAATTAAGGTCGGCTAATCAGGGCACCTGGTTTAAAAAGGACCTCACTTCAGCCAGTGAGGGGCGCGCAAGGAGCTGAGAGTGAGAGGGCGTACTGCTGGAGGACTGAAGAGTACAAACGCAATCTGGCATCAGGGGGAATGTCCTGTGGTGAGGATACCGAAGATGTTGGGAGGAGGCCATGGGGAAGTAGCCCAGGGAGTTGTAGCTGTCACACAGGTGTTACACAAAACACTGTAGACAGCTGTGAGCCACAGGGTCCTGGGCTGGAACCCAGAGTAGCGGGCGGGCCAGGGTTCCCCTCATCCCCCCAACTCCCTATTGGATACAGGAGGAGTTGACCTGGACTGTGGGTCCCACCAGGGGTGGACCAGCAGAGACTGTGGGGATTGTTCTCCTTCCTTTTCCCCATGCTGGCCAGTGATGAGGTTAGCTGAGTGAACAGCAGGTTTGAGCCACTAGCAAAAGTGGCCAAACTCAGGGCTGCCGTGAATCTCTGAGGCGAGCAAATCCGTCAATAAGTGCAAGACCCACCAAGGCAGAGGAGGAACTTTGTCATAACACTTTAAATGTAGTAAAGAAGTGAGGGTCCCTCACTCACAAGACACATGATATTGGAGGAAATGTATAGGATGAATTGTACCATTTGGGATTTTTCTGTGAAGTCAAATGGAGGTTTACTAGTTAAATTATTTTCCACCCCCCCGCCAAAGTTTGCATAATGCTCCAATTGTGAAGCACTATACACCCACATTGTACTGCTGTAAAGAACTACACAAGGTGCAGGGCAAATATGAATCGGATCTTGTGCTCACAGGGAGTCCAAAAAGGAAATGTATGAATTTTTTCACCTGCTTTGTTGTTGTAGTTAATTCACAAACCATGTTACCCTAGAAGTAGTGCATTTAAGATGCCAATGTGCAACAAAAAGGGCTATGTTAATTTCAGACACATTAAAAATGGGGAAAGATAAATATTAAATGGGAAGAAGATCTTAATTTCAAGCTCCGAGTAGAGTATTGCAAAGTAAACACTAAAGCCGAGATCCTCAAAGGTATACTTGGGAGTTAGGCACCTAAATACGATTTGAGGATCTGGGCCTACATCCAAATTAGACATGTTAAAAATGAAATGGTTGATACTGTCCTCCAATCATTGTTTTAATATTAGGTCTACTTTATCTATGAGTACCATAATTTAATAAACTGTTATTTAGAAGGTATATTTCAACTGAAAGCAAGCGGCCATGGAGGTTTCAGATTTTGTTTCAACAAGATCTAGCTTTAAAATGGCTTAATATATTTTTACTGAAAATAGACATACATCTGGCAGCAGTAATCTCTAGTATTTTAAAGTTTTCAATTAATATGCCATTTTTAGAGGTGTACATTAGAAAATTTGCTCTTAGGTGACTTGCAGTTTCTAATTGTTCTCTTTTTAAATTCTTAAAGGGTGCTGGAAGTTGCCTAAAATAGCTGAGATTCATAACTGTTTGTTGGGGCTATCCTTTTTTAGTGATCTAAAGTAAATGGCATTTAGTGCTTTTATTCTCCTATTGCTTGAGTCATTGACTTAGGGGGCAGAGACTGATAGGTTGTTGCATTCCTGTTTTCCCAAGTTGGTGTCTGAGTCCATTAACTCAACTGTTTTATCAATAAATTTTATTTGGGTTGTATTTTTTCATATCCATATCAGTTCTCTCATACTTATTAATGAGCTTTAT